TCCATTAGGTGCCTGCAGTTTGGTTTGAAGATAGAAATCGAAAGGAGCAAGTTCGGGGCGATTTGCGAGAAATCGTATATCTGGGACATCGTCCGGTATTCATACCAGACACGTCCGGTATTTCCTGCCTGCACTAAAAATATTTATTCTCTGTTCTAACTTGGTGTTGCAGGGCTGTAGCTTCTAGATATATTCTTTATACCTTGTTTACTTTATGGCTAACTTGTGAGGGGTGGTAGTACTCTTAATTTGAAGTTTCCATCTTTGGAAACTCCCCTTTCTAATTGTTTCCGCATTTAAAGGTGTTATTTTTCAGAAACGCCTATTCCCCCCCCCCCCTCTAGGCGGCATCCTAGGTCCTTTCACAAGTGATGCATTGATCCTCCTCATAAAAAAACTGAAGATCCACGGGCAGCATTCAGACAGACAAGGAGGACAAAGACACACAGAAATATCATTCTCAGCATCCTCGGGCTCCCGTCCAAAAAGGCACCTTCCATCAGTTGTGTACGAATCATTCAGCAATCGTATTATGGCACTGGTCTTTTACAAGAAGCACATGAGATCAAAGCCTCTTCTATGGCCCATCTTGAAACCTATGTTTTTACGCTTTGTATAAATTGCAGATCCAGAGCTGAAGAAACCAAAACACATGGCTAAGGCACTGGATGTACCGCCTCTTCCAGCCAACAGAGAATGAAAAAGGTGCTTCCAAACACTGTACTTCGTTTTCTATGCAGACTCATCCTATTTAGCACAATCGCGTCAAACCTAAAATTCCTTTCTCTGTGTTACAGGCTTACACAACCCAAGGATACATCTGCTTTTGCTTATATGCCATAGGCATTTCAAGTAAAATCTATTTGTGTGAGAAACTTCGATGACCAGTCTGCATATACAGCTTAGGACACTAATATGTAAGACTGCCTTTTGCATATGTAGCATGGGCACTTCTCAGATTCCTGGTTAGGCTGTTTGTGCAGGCTACAACCAACTTACGTAACACTACGACACCTGTGGCTGCCATCCACTATTAAAACCAGTTTATGTAAGATTGTCGGACTCTGACCTATGTCTGACATCTCCTACTAATAAGGATAAGCAATGTAAAGTCCAAGAATATCCTCGGTCATGTATGGATTGCTACTAATCATGCTGGCTGCTCAATGTACAAACCACTCTGTGCTACTCTATGTTATGCAATGTGTAAAGTATCATCCCATGTCACGACCTAAGAACATTACTAAACTCATGTGATCACTTTATGTAATATATATACCCATCCTGCTTGTAGTATAATGTCAAATATGTGCCTATATGTAAAAAAAAAAAAGAGGCAATATTTCAGCTTCTCTATACTGCCTAATTTCATGCTTCGATCTTAAAAAAATATATAGATATGTTTAGATCTACGATTGCATTACTGTCCACGCGCTCGAAGGCACGTGTGATGGACTAGTATTTATAAATCCGAAAAGACTCGAAACTAGATGCTGCAACCTAAAACCAACTTACTATTTGTGTTGTTTATTCAACTGGGTCGTCTTCGTCTTGTACCTCGAATCTTTCGTTATCCAGAGTCGATAGATGTGCTTCGATGTGAATTTGTGGCCGCAAATATGACTGTCAAATACCGCTGACAGATATACGTATACGTAGTTTCAATGAAGCAAGGTCCGTGTCAAACACCTGCGGCTCACTTTTGATCCGACGCTGCTGGTAGAATAACTGCAGTTGTCAACTGTCTGGTGATGAGCATAAGCCATGATGGCACGACACAAACACAAAGCAAAGCTTAGGGGTGTTAGGATGCGGTGAATAAAATTTAGGAGGTGTCACGTGAGGGTGTCGTATAATGTGTTTAGATATTAATAAAAAAATAAATTATAGAATCCGTCAATACTCCACGAGATGAATTTATTAAGCCTAATTAATCTATCGGTAACACATGTTACTGTAGCACTACCTTATCAAATCGTTGATTAATTAGGCTTAAAAGATTCGTATCACAAATTAGTCGCAAGTTCTACAATTAATTTCGTAATTAATCTATATTTAATACTTCATATAAACATTTAATGAGACTACGACTAAAGTTTAGAAGAAGAAATCAAACACCTCCTTTTAATTAGTGCAGTGGGGCCCTGAAGCCTGCATTTCTGACGCGAACAAACGAGCGAGAAGTCCTACGGACCGATTCAAACAGAAAGGACGAACGCATTTGCTCGCCGCGGAGAGAAGTGCAGTGCATTGCGTTGCGTTTGACAAAAGCAAGTTGATGGCTGGGTCGTTCGCGGTTCCAGTGTTCCATCCATCACGTCTCCACGCGGCCGCCCGGCCGACCAGCAGCAGCGAAGGATATGTTAGGATTATCAGACAGCAAATAATATTTTTCGGTTACGATAAATCCACGTCATCTGGGTTTATAACCAACCAGCAAACAGGTCGAACAGTTTTAAACTATTTTATTTATCAAACACTTATTTTTAAAACAGTTTCATCCATAAAGCAGTTTTTCTCTCCTCTCACAAAGATATAAGTTGGAATGAAGCTAAAAAAAAGTAGTTTATCCTAACTCTTTCCTTATTTCTCTTTTCATCCATACATGAAGTTGTTGGTAAAGCTGTTTTGCCAAATAATTTTTCCAAAACAGTTCAGCTTCACTAGAAAGTTGCTCATAAAACTATTTTAAAAAACAACTTTATTAGTGAAGCTAAGCTGTGTCAAACCGGCCCTGAGTACGAGTGGTAGTAATGAGGTCAACGAGCAAGGCAGAAACGACTCGTCGATCGACCGAACTGCAGTGAAGGAGGGTCGCTGTTTGTGTCTCGCTTCGTCCACGGTACAGTTGGGTGTTGGGGGCCTCTTCACTGCGAGATGCGATGCGACGTTGGCCGCGTCTCCCCAGTCCCGTCCTCTCCTCACGACGCTGTGCCGTGGCCGTGCCGACGGCAGACGTGACGTGAGAAAAGCTTTCGGTTAGCCCATATGGCTGCACGTACGTACGCCCGCCCGCTGAAGAAACCAAACTCTGATACCAGCTCCGGCGCGGCCACAAAGCCGCTTTATAGCCTACTTTTTCCGTTTCGCCGTTAGAACCGGCACGTTTTCGTCGTCGACGCTGATCTCAGCACGGGCCGGCAGCGGCAGGGCGGTCTGAGTTCGCGGCGGCCGAAGCCGGACAGCCGACGTGAAAAAGTGCCCGACCGCCCCACGCGTCGCGTCGCGGCACGGCGTGTTCCGCGGTTGCCGACGACGCGCGGGAGCGTCGGCGTTTTAGGATGGGCGAGGCACGACGCCAGCCACGACGGGCGGCGTTTCGGCACGTTTCCGCAGCCTCGCGCGCGCGGAGTTGATGACGTGCGTTGGTGCAACCGCATCGCATCGCTGTGCGGGGCGTTGGAGCGTCTTCTCGGAGGTCCGCACGTGAGAGAATTCCTTGTGTTGGCGGACGGGCACGGCGGTGGAAGGGCGCTGGACGGAGGCCTGATGGGCCGAATGGGTCGGACCCTACATACACTTCTGGGCTGAAGTGAGATCATGTACGTTTGTTTCGTGTGTGCGTGCACAAGGTCTAGCGGATCGATCGGCCTGCCACTTCTAGCCCAGAAAACCTAATTACATTATGCGGGCCCATTCAGAAAGGAACAGAGGCCCAGGGCGTAGGCGCAAACAGATTTGATGGACTGGGTCGCGTTTCGCGTATTGTGGAATGGAATTGAACCAACAAAATCCAATCCTTTTGAAAGTGAAAGTGCCGACGACGGGCGCGTTGGTTCATTCTGGGGGTAGGTTCGGTTGAACATGGCCAGATTTCGTGGTGTGGAATGAACCGATTGCCGGTTCTGCACTCTTCGCCTCTTCGGTGGTTGCACCGCGCCCAATTCTTAGAGTGGAGAGTGGACTAAAACTGTTTCTTGGTCCGATGCGTCACGTCTAAGAAGGGAAGGGGATGGTCGTCGTTGAGAACATTGACCCGGCCACAGTTGCTGCAACAACTGTCAAACTGCTGCACGCGTCTGGTTCCTGACCCAAAACCTCAGCCCTGCCCACTGCCCACAGCCCACCCCCATGTGTTTTGAAGATTCCACAGGTCCTATGTCACTGATCGGGCGATTTGTAAAAATAGAACTCGAAACATCGGTCGTTTGTAGATTTGACACTGGACCCATATTTATAGACATAAATGGACCTCATCCACTCGAAACATCGGTCGTTTGTAGATTTGATCACAGCATCGCTCAGATGAAATTATGGAAATACAGGTCGCATCAGCAAGACAAAAACTTTAGTGTAAAAAAAAAGACAGATTTGATGGCCTAATTAAAGCTGTGTTTAGTTCGCGAAATGAAAATTTTTGGACGTCACATCGAGTGTTTCGGAGATGTCGGAAGAGATTTTCGGATACTAATAAAAAAACTAATTACATAGCTCGTCTGGAAATTGCGAGACGAATTTATTAAGCCTAATTAATTCATCATTACCGCATGTTAGTTACTGTAGCATTTATGACTAATCATGGACTAATTAGTCTTAAAACATTCGTTTCGTGATTTTCAACCAAACTGTGTAATTAGTTTTTTTTCGTCTATATTTAATACTCCATGCATGTGCTGCAAGATTTGATGTGATGGTTTGGGGTGAATTTTTTTTAACTAAACCAGGCCTAATTCCGGTTACATCTGCACAATACGGCATCTCGTTGCGGTAGGCCGGTTCCAACTCGAAGCAACGCATACGCATTCAATCGTGGTCCTGGTCCTGGACGGTCCTGGCGTACAGCTGTTCTGCGAGCGCACCTACCCCAGAAACCAGTCCGCGTTCCTTGCTAAGCTCGATCGCCACTTGGATTGCTTTGCTTGTCGCCAAATTTAGTCGTCGTCTACCTACTACTCTTGTAAGCCATCTCATTCTCGCCAATATATATCCCTCTCCCTACCGCTCCTCGGTTGATCACGTAGCATTAGTAGTCGCGCTTGATTGAACTTGAACCGGCGGGGATGGGGGCGCTGGAGGAGCTCGTGGCGAAGGCGGGCGGGTGCGCGGTCATCGACGGCGGCTTCGCCACGCAGCTAGAGGCGCTCGGTGCCGACATCAACGACCCGCTCTGGAGCGCCGCCTGCCTCATCACCAGGCCGCACCTCGTCAAGGAGGTAACAGCCCTGGCCCCTGCGCCAACGCCCCGCCGACGTGCCGGCATGTGCACCTCCATCACGGGGGGCAAAGCCTGACTTAGAGGCTGTTTATTATTGGTTTATACATTGCAGACTTGCGAGTTGGGCGATGCAATGCAACCCCCAACAGATGCCATCTGATTACTGTGTTTCTGTTCGCCGCGGCCCGCGAGAAATAAACTATTGCTGCGCTAGTTGTGAATGCGAAGATACTGAGTTTGCGCGTGTTGCTGATGATATTTTTTTGGGAGTTGGTGACTGTATTCTAGGCTTCTAGCTGTATTTTTCCTATTAAAATCGATCTATATTACCGATACGCCGATACGGATATGGCGATATGGTGATACGGCATTTTCCAAAAACAAGGGTACGCTGATACGGCAAGTATATTAAATATACCAAATATCGGAATACATCTACTCATAATATTTTTCACTCTAGTAGAACAATCAATAAATAAAAATCGCAAAACATAGACACAAAGGTAGGTCATTTCATAATGCATTAAAGATAGCATAATACTTGGTCTTACAAAGATTAAGGCTTATTAGAGACAAATAGCTAGTGTCATATGAAGCATCTAAGACAGTATACTAGTATAGTACTTGATTTTATGGTTCTTACAGCACAATAATAAATATTACGGTTGTGTAAATGGGCCACCAAGCTGGACTGCTAAGATGATATACTTCAATTTGGAGGGTTATAGGCTGTGAAGTAGGATAAGTATCCGACAAGTATCGACGAAGTATCGAGATTTAATTTATTTATTTTTATTGGTGATATTATCTGATGCTTCTCCGATACAGTATCAGAGGCGTATCAGAGTATCGGAGTATCCGATATGTAACGCGATACCGATACGCAACTTCGGCGAAGTATCGGAGTATCCTAGGAAATAAACTATTGCTGCGCTATCTGTGAATGTGAAGATACTGAGTTTGCGCGTGTTGCTGATGATATTTTTTTTGGGAGTTGTTGATTGTATTCTAGTTGTATTTTTCCTATTAAAAATCTATCTATATTACAAAAAAAAAAGAGTAGTGGATCTATGGCCTGGGCAGGTCAAATGAACCAAGTCAAAGGAAGGAATTGAATTTGTCTGGCTCTTTGGTCTTGGGTGATGGTGGTGACTGGTGACCAGCCCAAGAACAAAATCCCCTTTCTTTCCTTTCTTGGTGGAAAGACAAACCTACATTTTTATTTGTGGATACCAAACATTCCCTGTGCCTTTTTTAGTCTTATAGGCAAGTTAGGCTTCAGGTGCTTTACTCCTGTAAATGTGGCCATTGTTTGTGCACAATCTGTCATCAGAAATCCAGAATAGCTTTCTGTGGCATGGAAGTGGCCATTGTTTAGTTGGGCACAATCTGTCATCAGAAATCCAGAATGGCTTTCTGTGGCATGGAAATTCCGGTCTTGTTCAAACTTTTTGAAGCGCCCACCGTTAGATACAGGAAAAACAAACCCTACCGCCACCGACCAGTGCATCTAGGACCACCTGGCAAGTCTCACGGACTGAGTTTTGATAAACAAGGACAGTGCAAGGAATTCAAACTTTTTTAATTGGCTCCAGCTATCCATTTTGACATCTTGCTATTTTACCTGTCCAGGTTCATATGCAGTATCTTGAAGCAGGCGCCGACATCATTATTTCATCATCTTACCAGGTACTACTGGTGGCTTTCATCTTCAGAACTATAGACATTGACCAGATTCTGCAGTTCATAGTTGTTTTAATGTTTAGAACTTCAAATGTTACTTACTGCATAGTGCATACACGTTTCTTTGCCTGCAGGCAACAATCCCGGGTTTCCTGGCTAGAGGAATGTCTGTTGATGAGGCGGAAGATTTATTGCGAACAAGTGTAAAACTGGCCGTTGAAGTTCGAGATGAATTCTGGAAGTCAGCACTGAGAAAGGCCAAGCCTATATACAACCGTGCTCTGGTTGCTGCATCCATTGGGAGCTATGGAGCCTATCTTGCTGATGGATCAGAGTACAGGTAACACGACCACACGAACCATGAGACAGCATTAGATTCGGTGCCATTTTAGTAATGATAGTTACTTGTACATTCTAGAGACTGTCCTCGTGTTCTGTATGCCTATCACTCACACAAATTGGTCTCGCAGTGGATCATACGGAGCTGACATCACAGCCGAAAAGCTGAAGGACTTCCACAGGCGCCGGCTGCAGGTGCTTGCAAGTGCCGGCCCTGACCTGATTGCGTTCGAGGCCATTCCTAACAAAATGGAGGCACAGGTACATTCTAAATCAGGGCTCCATGTGAACAAACTGAAGACATGATAGTTCAAGAACCAAAGGTTTGAACTGAACTTGTGCATGCCCAGCGTTCAAACTGAACCCTTTCTCGTGTAGGCATTGGTTGAGCTTCTAGAGGAAGAGAAGGTCCAGGTCCCTTCTTGGATCTGCTTCAGCTCCGTGGACGGCAAGAACCTGTGCTCTGGGGAGAGTTTCGCAGACTGCCTTAAGATCCTCAACGCAAGCGAGAAGGTGGCCGCTGTAGGGGTGAACTGCACACCACCTCAGTTCATCGAGGGCATCATATGCGAGTTCAGGAAGGTCTGCAGGCACCTCTAGGCAGAGCAGTTCCTTTCTGACATTTCATGCCATTTCTTCAGTTGTCTGGACATGATGACCTGTTAGGTATGCTTCTTTTTAATCCATTCTCCCTTCTGTCTCCATCAGCAAACCAAGAAGGCGATTGCAGTTTACCCGAACAGCGGCGAAGTTTGGGACGGGAGAGCGAAGAGGTGGCTGGTGAGTAGACACCACAATTTTGCGCTTTTTGGGAACGGAAACAGGGAACTGATTATGTGATGCATTATGCATGATGACAGCCCGTCGAGTGCTTGGGTCACAAGAGCTTCGACGCGCTCGCCAAGAGATGGCAGGAGGCCGGGGCCAGCCTGATCGGAGGGTGCTGCCGGACCACGCCTTCAACTATTAGGGCCGTTTCCAAGATCCTCAAAGGAAGAACGGGACATTGATTTGTTCAGAATAGGAAGGACGGGACATTGATTTGTTCAGAATTGTGCTGTTGTTGCGTTATGTCAGTAGCCAGAATAACGTTCAGAATATGCATCCTGCTGTTCTTTCTTTTCCCTTTCAGTTTGACCTCATTAAAAGAGAGTATCAATATACAGCCTGTTCGTTTCGGCTGAAACGACCGTGAATTATAATTCATAAGTATTGCTGGCTAGTTTGGTGTGAGAGAAAAATACTGTTCCAGCTTATAATCCATGATCGTATAAGCCGAAACGAACATGCTGATAATTTTGCACTGTACTAGTTTGTAGTGTTGACTCACAGTAGTGCTTAGCCACCGATTCAGGTATGGATTTTAACAGTCAATGTTGTTTGGGTATGTTTACCAACTTAAGTATGGATTTAATCAAGACTACTAAAATTTCTTATCCAATTACTCTTGTGAAGAAAAGCTCATAGACATAGAATACCGAGGTTATCCAAAAGAACCTGTGCAATAGAACCTGCTACCTGCATTTGCTGGACAGGTAGGATACTTGCCAAAATGTTAACTGCCGTGAAATGAAAATACTCACGAACGAATTCAATTTACAATTTAGGCGTTGTTTAAATTCAGATGTAAAGTTTTGGGGGTGTTATATTACGTGTTACATGGAGGTATTGTTTGGGGTGTTTGGATACTAATAAAAAAACAAGAGTAAGGCTCCGTTTGGCAGGGCTTCACTTCACTAGTGAAGTCTTTTTTTTTTTCTTCAGCTCCACGAACAGTTTCAATGGTGGAGCTGAAGCGGTTTTGTTAAACCGTTTGGCAAAATGGCTTCTCTGTGATAGCATGATTTTAGGGGCCTGGAGGAGGAGCCGGGAGAAGCCACTTTTTTTTTTGCTCCATCCCACCCCAAATTATTGTGAGAGCATATTTTTAGGGGCTTTCACCAGGTGTTATTTCATTTTACCCGTTTGGCGACTTGCGACTCTGACTCACCCTGAAGGTGGTGGAAAGCCCATCGCCAACGGGCCTAAAATGCACCAGAAATCCATTAACTTTATTTAGGATGTCATATAAGTCCATCAACTTTAAAACTATATTTTTACTCCATAAACTTTTAAAATAATTCATTGCATGTCCATATCATTTATTTAACTTTAAATCCAGAGTGCTTACCTTTCTTTATCTTCTGAGGCGGTCACCGTCCGCGCACCTCGTCAAGCGGCTGCGCCAGCACAAGGCGCTGCAGCGCCGGTGCGGCCCGGGCACCGAGGCGTACACGGCCGCGGCCACGCGGCTCAGGTCCTGGCGCCGCAACGGCACCAAGGACGGCGTCTGCAGGTACCTCAGGGGACGCGGCCCAGCCGCCCACGGCTGCTAGCCCGCGCACGCGCCCACGGCACGATGGACCCGGCGGCGGCTGTGGCGCCGGCGCTGCTGGGTTCCTGCCGCCGAAGAGCGAGGAGGAGCAGAGCTGTTCTGGGTAGTTGTCGTCGTCTTCTGTGGTGTTCGACGCGGCGCCGCCGCCCGTGGGCCTGGGGCTGGACCTCAACCTGGCGCTGCTGCTGGCAGCCGAGATGGTCATGTGATTGTGATTGCCGTCGTCCAGGAGACTAATCGATTGCTTAATTAATTATTAGTCATTATTAGTAGCTAATCGATCGAGGCAGTCGTCAGGTGTAAATAGCCCTGTTTTCTTTGTTTGGTGCGCCGAGGGGAGCGACGCTGGGCGAGGAGGCGTCCAGCGACCGGAGATGGAGAAGACAGAGGAGGGTGGGAGACTGTGTGAAAGGCTGACAAATGGGCCCGTGTGTCAGGGAGTGTGAGAGGAAAGAGGATGGGGCAATCTTGTCTATGCGGTGCCCCTCTATATGCCTGACAGTGGGCCCAACTCGTCTTCAAACGTATATAATAGTGTATTTCAAACATCTACAAATTTTTAATGACAGTGGCATAGTTTCTTAAATAGTAATGGTGTGCTTTCAAAACGGTGAAGGTGTAATGACACTAATCCAAATAAAGTTTACTCCATATCCCATCAGATGCATGACACATGCGTGTAATATTAAATATAAACTAAAAAATAACTAATTATACAGTTTACGACTAATTTACGAAACAAATCTTTTAAATCTAATTAGTCCATGATTTACAAATGTGGTGCTACAGTAACACATATGCTAATATCTGATTAATTATGCTTAATAAATTTATCTCATTAGGCTTAATAAATTCGTCTCGTAGATTATCAACGGATTCTGTAATTTATTTTTTTATTAGTATCCGAATACCCCATACGACACCTCTATATAACACCCGATGTGACACCCCAAAACTTTATGCGCTGGATTTAAAGAGGTCCTAATCTGTCCTGGCAACAACAGAGATGGCTATGTTCCAAACTACAGTGGCACACATAAATAGTAGGTGATCACTAGCCTACTGAAGGTCAGATCAGATGAGTTGCAAGTCTTTTTGTACAACCTGAAGTTTATTTGGATGCATTCAGGACTATACGTACTACTACAAAGTACATATTGTACCTATACACAACGGATCTCTCAATAAGGATCCTCCAACTTTATTTCAAGCTCAGCATCCCCAGTAGCTTCCAACAGGTCCACTATTTTCTTCGGACCATGAGTTGTGACTGATTGGCCCTCGGCATAACCAATCATTAGAAGCTTCCCTATCTTCGCCCTCCAATCAGCAACACATTTCTCAGTCCACCTGTCATGGACCACACGATCACGGTAGTTGACCATCGTGCCAAGCCCAGTGTTTCTTACCCAGCCATATTCTTCCAAAACATGTGCCTCGCCTTCTGTTAAATCTTCACCAACCTGAAACATACAATGGAAGCACAACAAAGTAAAAAGCAATGAGCTCTCATTTCTCAACCTAGCACACCTGGCTCTCAAATTCTCAATGCATTGTTCTAGAGAGATAATAAACATTGAGACTTGACTCTTATAATGGTTAACTACAGGACCTCATCTTAATTACTTTACATCAAGTGAATGCAAAGATTCTCAATTTTTTTGGTTGGAAGAGGTTACATAAGGAGTTGAACTAGAGCACGATTCAGAAAATCAGTAGCAAAGCCACATTCGTGTTTAAGCATCAAATTCTGGAACATATAAATTTCACCATAATCAGAAGCACATAATAGTGCGAAGAGACTGAAAAAGATAAACCAGTGCCTTTAATAGCCCATATACTCAGCCTTATCCGAGCGGGTGCTCCTACTTGTTACCACGTAATTCCAGTCTCCCTGGTTAGGTCATAATAGGCCCAGTTACACCATACAATCACTACTAGGTAGGTGAGTTGGCACTTAATAGTTATTAAAATCTTGAAAATAAATTCCATAGAAGCAAGAAGCCTTACCAGTAACGGCCTGTTTTCAATAAGAGCTATCCTTCCACAGCCACTAAGCTTCATTGCAACAACCAGCCTACGGATCTGCCATTCTATTGGAGTTGATTGGACCACCTCAAAGAAGTATGTTGCATAACCATATTCAGGACGCTCAAGAACTATCCTGTGTAACAGATGAAAAGGACAACAGTTATAACAAGTCTTAAAACCATTTTGACAAGAAATATTGGACAAGGATCAATCAATAAGAGGCACCTATTATGGCTTCTAAATACAAAAATAAAGGATTGCAGATCCCTGCACCATCCCCATTCCACAGGACAGTCACGGAACTGAAGGTATCGTGACTACAAGAGAGAGAAAAAATGAATAAAGCTCTCAAGTTAGCATGAAATGGAAACTTAATGGCCAGAGTGTATCAATGTGACAAACATACCTGCTCAATAAGAGAAATTAAACAGGATAAGCAGTAAATCGCCTTTCCCCCCCTTTCGTGTCTAGCTACTGACAGTAAATCGCCTTTTCCCCTCTTCGGAAATATCTGCACATTGAAATAAATAGCATTGTCAACTGAAGGTGATGTTGTTTTATATTTAGTCCATATCACAAAAGATGGAACTACAGTACCTCGACAGAGATATCAAGTACAAGCCTGTCTACTAACTGTTTCATCGGTTACTTAAATGGCAATACACAAGTTTAAACTATATTACAGAGTAGCATCATATTGTATGTCAAGGGGGGTACATGCAGAGCCCCTCCAGAGTCTAAACAGAGGTATATATTATTTAACTATGTATATGGTCAACACAGCATTCTTAATGGTGACACCAATGATCTTAACTATTTTCCAATTGGTGGTCTCAAAGTATTTTGAACTTAAAATCAGTGGCGGAGCTAGGTGCAACTTTAAGGAGGGGCCAATTTTGCCTTATGAAGATCAATTTGTACACAGATGCTAGAGCAAATAATCACTAATCACAAATTTGCTGCTAATTAATACTGTAAAAACCCAACAAAAATATCAAGTAGACTCTATTAAGTACAGATTATCATTTATATAGTCACATCTAGTATACTGTATATGTCATATAGCAAATAACTCTGCAGATGAGTATGAAAATTGGAAGAAAAAAGCATTGAACATTGATTATTAGCCTATATAACTACTGCTTAGCCTATAGCGGGGGGGGGGCAAGGCCCAGGTTGGCCTAGCCTGAGCTCCGCCAGTGCTTAAAATTTCTGTATAGTAGTTATTTAAGCTGCAAACGATGTCCAAACAGTAAGTGGCAGACTGGTACCAGATTGCTAGTGGTTCTTAAGTTCACTGAATGGCTTGCAATAAACCAATTTACATCAGCACTTGCAAGAAAATGGCATTAAACACTGCTACCTACATCCTGAAATATAAGGGATCCATGTTTATCCTAAGTCAAACTGTATTAACTTTTACTAAATTTATATAAAAGAAATAGTTACGACATCAAACTAACATCATTAGATACATTATGAAATATATTTTGATAATTTACATGTTTGATGTGACAGATGTTGGTACTGTTCTCTATAAATTTGGTCGAACTTTGCATGGTTTGACTTATGACAAACTTGGATCCCTTATATTTCAGGACAGAGGGAGTATATCTTAATCTAGTTGACAGGCTTACAGCACATCTTTTGGAAAACTGTTCAATCCGCTTCCAGTTACAGGAAAACTTAAACTATTCCCACTGTTAAAATTAAAATTTTCATGTCAAACCCAGCATCACCACTTCAAAGTACAGGACCATATATAAATGTTGCAAGTGTAGTTTGTGACTCATCATCAAGTTGTGGGATTATAAATATTACACCAAATCAAACTGCCTGTGGTTCAGATAAGAAAATCATGTGTCACGCTAAGCACTGTTGTAGAACATCTTACATTTGCAATGACGTTTTCAAGATCTTCAAAGTTACTTTCTGTAGAATCTGCTATCATTTCATTATCTTCTTCAGCACCATAAAGTTTGATTTCTTCAACCGCTATTCCTCTGTTTAAAAGAATCTGCACGACAAAAAGAAAATGCACCAGAGAGTATCACAGGCTGAAAGATTTTCCACAGCGTTATTATATTCATATACAATTATATATGCAATAAATGATCACCTGTAGAAGCCCTGGAGCATCTTCATCAAGTGCCTTTTCAATTGAATCCCTGCACAGCATATTTGTAACCATAGTCCCCCACCAAAAAAGTGTAAACCTTAAAAGAAAAGACAAGTTACTAATGAAGCGTACGTGGCTGTTTTCTTCCTCCTTCGACGAGAACAGTAAGCAACACCCTCCTCGACAGTGTAAGCGTCTTCTTCAAGCGTTTTTTCAGTTGAATATCTGCAAAGATGCTATTCATAAGCATGTTGTGCAGCATTAAATATAAAATGAAACAAGTCATTGCTGCAGCATACCTTGTTTTCCTTTTTCTGCGTTGTCGGGAACTGAAAGAAACATTCTCACATAAGCCAGGCAACTCACAGTCCGTTAGCTCATCTTTTACTCCTAAAGATGGTACTGAGCCTTTGGCATGAGTAGAATTTGCTTGAGGAGATCCAGAAGGGCCAATCTCATAACCTTCTAATGCAGGCTCCAGTTTTACATCAGCCAGATGAGCCCCTTGTTTTCTTGCAACCAGCTCACTGTTTTCACTCATACAAGTTGCAGTGCCACCTATCTGGTTTTCGGAACCGTCCACTGGATCATGACAATATCCAAATTCACATAGGGATGGGTTAGTATGAGATGACATGCCAGAAATATTCAGGAAACCTGAGTTTCGTGCATTAGCTTGTTTAGCAATACACGTTGCAGAATTATTGTTTTCTTGACATTTAAATGGACACTAGGCATGACCGAGCAAGGAGTTGAGTAAATATAAGGCATGTCATGTCCAGCCTCATAAGTTGGTTGACATAACCATTAATTTAAAGAAATTGTAACTGTTTGTTTTTAGGACCATCAGGAGAGCAATAAACTACACTCATGCAGAATTTACAGTGTAGCTGTCCAGTGCCCTATGAGTTTATGACATGAACTACTTCCAACAAAACATTCCCTAAAAGACATTTGGGTACCTGGAAGATCTTCACCAAGTAACCTCCTGTTGCTGCTATCATCCATGGGATTACTCTCTATAATAGGAGGTGCAGAAGAAATTTCCTGTATCAAGTATGATAAGGCCAAAAGACCAGGTTCTCAGAGGGGGGCAAAAAGGTAATAGAATCTCATGCTAGCTGGATGTAATAATTATTATTAACACAGTACAGCAAACAAATCTGTGCAAATATAAAGCACCACAGTGAGCATTTTATTAATATTAATTGATATGTAAAACACATTTGGCGCCAGTAAATTTAGATGTAGTTTCAACACTCCTTTTAATATCATTTTTGAGTTGCAGCAGCTTGCCTCAATGACATTATTGTATTTTTGGAAATGGATCTCGTAAACCAGGCACGGATCATCAATCTCAGTGACCCCATAAGCAAATCCACTCATAAATTAATAGCAACATTCACTAAACAGGTTTGAATAATATTATAATTTCACACACCAGATTTGGATCATCTTTCTTGGTGTTTAAAGTATAAAAATTAAAAAAATAAAATGAAAATTGGGAAATGACAGTCATAGGTTCTAGGTAAATAGCACCAGTGCTAATGTGATGCAGATAGAATTGAGCAAGCGAAAAGCGTGGAATTTTCTAGAAGTTTCATAGAAATGCATAACAATTAATCGGATAACCAAGACAAGTGTATCAACACCTGCAACATGCTGCATATATCTTCTTTGTGTGTTGTTCCCTCATGATTTCTGCAAGAAAAATTAACTGAATAATGTTATGCATATAACAAAAGAAATCATAGCCCTCTATAATAATCAATATATGATCTGCTAGTTTCCACAAACATTATAGATTTCCCGGCTGATACTGTAGCAAGCCCTGAACTTTTGTCTGCTAGAAGGATCCTGTAGCGCTCTTTCAGAGGTATATGATCAAGCTCATCAGTCCCAGTACAGATTTCAGGGTTAAAACCTTTGGCACATTCCACGCTTGAATCTTTTTGTGTGGAAACATACTGCAAAGATTCTCCATAGACAATCATCCATTCAGTGTGAAACCTTAAAAAACTAACTCATAAGAAGCTTCAGGAAATAGCATGTCTGCTAACCTGAAACAACTAACTAATATGGACTTGAGAATAACTACAATGAAATTGGAAGAATAACACAAGACGAAAAAATAGAGAATAGGTGATAAGAGAAAATAAGGAAACTGCAAAGGAACTACAGGACAAAGCAATAGAAGCAGATTAACAGTGCAAAACAGATCAATCTCTATATATGAATACCTCCAGATACCATGGTCAATGTTTTAATCTAGGTTCAAACAGAAGCAACAACAACTCTGGTTTACTCCTTTCAACAAAAGTATCATTGCAGGGGTTGTAACATATATGAGTAAATGAATTGTGTAAACATTTCTATGAAGTCCAGCTTTTCATAGGATGTGAATGGTCCAGTCCAGATCTGTCTGTCAAGGGTAATACTAAAATAGAAATACATTTTTTTACCATAATTTCTGAAAAACTTCAAAAACTGTTTTGTTTTTTGCTGTATCATTTGCCTAACCAAATTATTGTACGCATTGAAAATACTGAATGCCGCAAAAAAGACAGAGACAAAAATGTTAGTAAATCATATCCCTTTTTCCAGCACTGGTGATCAAACACGTTTTTTGTGAGGTGCGATTGATCCAGCATATTTCAATTGTTCTTTAGTAATGATAATTGACAAGTCAGAGGAGGTGAGACTCGACGTGAAACTACAAGACAAGAATTATAGGAATTTCTAATCTTATAGGTATGGACATTGATAAGAAAGTACCCAATCAGATTCAATACGAGCTTCCTCAGCCATTCCACACAGACTGTTCCGTGATGCAAGAAATATTTTTGAGACCACAATCTCTGACTCTGCCTTCACTGTGTTATGTAAATGGTACTGATGTAATCTCCAGTCAGTTTCCTGAGAGCTTTTATCACTCGTCATGTCTGAATACAGGGCAAACACCTCTTTGCAACCTCGCAGTGTTCCATCCAGAATGATCGATCTAGGGGTTCCAATTTTCTTCCAGCAGTTATTTGCATCATTCTCATTGTTGTACGTCTCAAAACTTCTATGGAAGAAGTATGATGCACGGCCATCTTGCCTAACACCTGCAAGATTGCAGTTAAACTGTAACGTACGCTGACAGATAAGTAGCCAGAATAGTTGTGACGTTACTTCAATAAAATTAAATACCCGGTATATCTTGAGGGCGACTGCAAAAAAATCCTTGTCTATCATCATCAACAAATTTAATAAACTTGTTGATAAATGGATGGCGCTCAGCTAGACCACTCCCCACTTCTGCTGCTAAATGCCACAGAAGATCACTATCACTGGGGTTAAATTCTACACCCCTTGGCAGCCCTGGCCAACTCTGCAAGCACAATGGTACAGTAAAGGCCTACCCTTGGGAGGGGGGAGGGAAAACAGTAAAACAAACTGTTAAGCTGTTTAATGGCATTCATTTTATTATTTGAAAAATATGCACGTTCGTCCACACATAACAGCATCATTCCTCAAAGTTCAAAATAATAGTACCTGGCAATACATCGATACGGTAGGATCAGGGGCGGACCCAGTAAAGGACATGGGCTGTACACCCAATAACTTCTGCAAAAAAAAAAGGGAAGTTAGTAGGCATAATACATATATAATAAAGTTGTAATTAGATGAGATCCGAAATACAAATGCCCAAATACATTAAATTAGGGTTCGGGTGCTCGGTTTCGCACAGCGGGAAGGGAAAGGAAGGAGTGCGCATACCTGGTGGGAGCTCGTCGCCGGCGAAGGGCTCAACGAAGACCTGGCGAAGGGACCGACGACGCTAGACCTGGGCACCTGGGAACCAGGCGTACGGCGGCGGTCGGCCAGTTGCGCCAGGAGGGAGAGAGAGCGCGCGCTCGCGAGCGAAAGGGAGAAGAACAGGCAGGCGGTGAACGTAGGTAGGTCCGGTGCTATTTGGATCCCGCAAGGCCGCTCCGAAAAAAGGTCCGTTGGACAGTTGTGTGCAGCCCGCTTTTCTGTTGTGGGTTGAAGCAGGCCGGTCTGCTAGAGCAAGTAGACAGTCTACAAAGCCTGCAAAATTCCACAACACAGGCCTGAGGCGCTCCCATAGTCCCATGTGGAATACCAGCATTCTAATAAAAATGGCGTGTCTCGGCACTCGGCGTATCATACGCTACGTTGTGTTGTAAAACATGTTGCGAGCCGTGAAGACAGAGACACTATTTTTTATTTCTCTAAATATTGGTAATTATAATGTAGAGCTTCCGTATATATATAGTCCTGGCAAGGTCTCAGAGTTTTGTAAGAGGTCATATACAAACGGACTAAGATTAGAATTTCTCCTTCTCCTTTCTTTCTAGGATAAAGTCCGCATATTTTACAACACTCCCCCTTAGGCAGTTACCACGATATGCACATGCCTCGTTAAAAAATCCATCCGAAAACTAAGTGGAAAAAATGATTCTTGGAGAAAAAAATACATCGCATTCGTTAATTGCATTGCACATGTTATCTCGTTAAAATCTTGTGAGAAATCTTCAAGTAAAAACTCGCATGGGGAAAAAGAGTACAACATTTAATCTTCTTAGTCATGTATTCTTTAGGTTATTCTATTCTAAATGAACAGATATTGATCTTCACGATCTATGCATAAATTTTAATGTTTTGGCAAATATGATCTACTTGATATTTGTAATTTTAGTGGCTTACCTTCAAGGTAGATTTAATCAAATATGCTCCCCCCATAAAGCCATAGTTTGAACTTTATTGTTCAAAACTCACTTTTCATAATTGTGTGATTAACTAATGGTATGCACTAGCATAATACTATATATCTTTCAAAAGATGGCTCCCAAATCTTCTATGAATTACAAGCTTAAAGTTTCAGGTTATCCAGTGACTGTAGAATGTCATGAAGAGTATCCAACAAGGCGACATCGGATCTATGAACAGGTTATCCAGGAGTGCAATACGAGGAAGATAGCTTTTAGAAGTTGAGTTTGTACATGAGCATAGAGACTCAAATATCGATGCTCATTGGATAGCTCGTAGCTCGATCCATGCTGAGCTAGGGCGGCATGTATGGTTCTCGAACCCACCTGATGGTGTTTGTAATATGTATATCCTCCTAGCTGAATGAAGAGGGCGGTGTTGCTCAAAAAATAATAAAAATGGCGTGTTTCTCCCTTATTACTTTTGTCATAATAATATAATAATGTGTGTTTGGTACTGCTTCTCCGTTAGCTCCAGAATTGTGTCAAACCGGATAAAATAAAATAGCTTTACCTGAGTAGTTTCTTGAATTATTCTGTTACAAGGGATGTGTGGGAGATGGAGCTGAAAATAGTAACTTCTTCTAGCTCTAACTCGCTCCGGTGGACTCTGTGAAATTATGTGAGAGCATATCTTAAGAGCTCATCATGTATCTGTTTTGTCAAATGGCTCATCAAAACAGTTTCAACTCCATGGATAGAGTTGTTCATGGTGCTGAAGTAAATAAAACAGCTTCATTAGTGAAGTGGAGTTGTGACATACGAGATCCAATACTTTACATCAAACTGCAACAGTTGTGCTTGACCAAGTGGCAATTGCTTAATTTCATCCTTAGTACTTGTTGGATCTGTGATCATGTAGTCAAGTTCTGTAATACCCCATATTTTATGGGTTATTAGCCGTGCTACTAAGTGATAGGGTTAACTAAATAAATCATAGTTCATGTACCCAAATGTTATATAATATAAAATATGAGCTTTCTCACAAAAGAAAAACTAATATAACCTAACTTTAACTTTCTATGTCGTGAATATACCTAGTGAAATATTACCAAATATTTTATAACTCGTAGTACACGTATTTTAATTTGTTTGTGTGTACGTGCGCTAATATCATTCATGCTTGGGTAGCTTAAGCATGTTTGTGTGTACGTGCACTAATATCATGCATGCCTGTGTAGCTTAACACTACTACTACAGAATGGACTTGTTGTCCCGGGCGGAAACGGCCTTTAGTCCCGGTTACCGCGCCGGGACAACGATCCCGAGACTAAAGGTGCCACCTTTAGTCCCGTGTCATCGAACCAGGATTAAAGAGGGACCTTTAGTCCCGGTTGGTGTTATCCAGGAGTCCCGGTTACTACCAATCCCTCAAGACCCCCAAAACAAGCAACGTGGCGCACCTTTTAGTCCCGGTTGGTAACCCCAATCGGGACTAAAGGTTCCTTTTCTTTTCTTTTTTTTTTTTAATTTGTTTTCAGTTCGATTACACGTATTTGTTTAATATATAATATGTTTTTATATATTATTATATGCTTGCTAATATAAATACACGCATACGCATATAATTACATCTAATTCTCATCTCGAGCATTATTATATTCGAATAAAGTATGAACCTATATATATTATAGATATATATATATATGTATATATACAACACTTTCATAATCTTGTTCTCGAAAATAACGATATCAATAAACATTTAATTTATACCATTTATTTCTTAGGATCAAAGTAGAACTCGCTGCTGGGATTTAGCACTTTTTCTAGAAAAATCCTGCTATTGACTCTTGAACTGCTTTCGGATGGTCTTTTTGCATGACCCTTTGTTTCAACCATTCAGTCTTGCATTTGAAATAAAAGAAAAAGTATTAATACATATATATATATATATTTCATTTAAAATAAATAAAAATTGATATATACGTACTATGAGAACATCTTTAGGAGTTCTTCTTATGTGCGCAGTGATATAAATTCACAAACGTAGTATCCACACAAGTTATTACACAGTTCTTTGCCAAAACACCACCGTCTTTGAAAAAGATTATTTTCATCATCTCACATGTAAATTGAAGTACGATATAGTAATTAAACACGTGGGGAAGTGTATATAGTACAACTTACTGGTATTTCAATTACATTAAGTGGTGCCTTGCAATCCTTACGATGTTGCCGAATAAACTCTTTCCAAACCCTGTGCGACCAATAATGTACGATCGTTAATAAATTATGGCAAAGTCTATTCAATAATAGTTGTGCGCGAGAGATCGAAATTACTCCTGGATAATGTCTATCATATCTTGGTATAGTGCCCGCTCTTTTCTCAACGAGTCAAAGATTACTAACCGACTTGAGTTTAATTCAATGACAATGAGTATCCAGTGAAAACTGCATTGGTTTATACACATACGTACGTGCATATAAGTTGTATTGATATTACATAAAATGTGTAGACTACATTATTATTAATACTTACTCAAAGTTGTATGGAAAAAGTATTGTTGTCTTGTCGTGCTGCTTCACGAAGAACATCATAATATTCTCCTGTGCTTCAGATACCCACCGCTCCTTGATAATAATACCGGTTTTGAATATGATATAAGGATCAATGAAGCCAACACCGGTGTCTTGTATTCTTTGGAGCTCTAACATCTGGAATCTGTATATAAATATAAGTTACATGTGAGGATAATTATATACACGTACGCATGGAAGTGAGTTTATTAAATAAAAGTAAGAACCACTTACAAACAAAAGGAGCTAATGATTGATTTGTCCAAAGCGTCCAAGTGGTATAGTTGATGCAATTCTTCGAAACTAATATGTAAGATGTCATCACCACGGAAGTAATGATGGTCTCTAAATCTGACAAAGATCCACTGCTCACCCCTGCCACACGTCTACATGTACCACTTGTTGAGCAAGTACATTTGCGTACCCAATTCATTCAGAGCCGCAGGGTTGTACAGACTTTTACCATATTTATAAGTCTTCCAGGTATCAACTTTCAGGTTCTGGATTGGAGCTTTGCCCGTCAATTGATCCAAGGTTAAACCAGTATCTTCAAAAAAGCATTAAGGGCTTGAACCGACACTTCTTCAGAGTTATCTGGTCGATAGACTTCTATGTTGGAACCATATTCATTAGCAACAACAAGATTTTGCATTGGTTGCTTCTGTTGTCCGAGCTGTAGGACATCCTTCCCTGATGCTCTTTTCCTTTTCTTATATGCATCATGTGACTTCACGAGGCAGCGGTCATAGTCTGATAGTGGCGAAGGCTTACGAAGTTCAATCATCTTTTTCTTGTGAGCATCGACGACCTTCCTTTCAAAGACATCTCGTGGTATGTAAAAGTACGGCTTCTCCTTAAGCTTCGCTTGACTCTTGTTTTTGATATCTATAAAAAATCTTTCGCTTTTTTGTCTTCTTCACCGCTATTTGCTCATCGGTCTTTTCAGAAGTATTTCTTGAGAAATAACTCTTTTCTCGGGGTCTTCTTTTTGCCACGGAGACCTTAGACGCGTCTTTGTAGTGCATCATTGTGGAGGGGTGGGGGCGGTGTTGGAGACCCAAGCGTGGAGGCGATGAGGCCGGTGTTGGTGGAGACCGTGTGGAGGCATTGGAGATCGTTGTGGGAGGTGGTGGGGTCGGTGTAGGAGTTGGAGATCGTTGTGGAGGCGATGGGGCGGTGTAGGAGTTAGCGATCGCCGTGGGGGGATGAAGTCGTCTCGCCTCCACGACGATCTTTGTGATGAGATGGGGAATGAATGATTAGGCTAGGTCGACGGAAGACCTCGCTACAAAA